AGATTTGAATGTAGCAGTTACTCATTCACATTCATCTCAATATATTAGTCTCGCTGTCATTCTACTCAAAAAGTAATGAATGATTGTTAACATCGATTGACTTAAATATATTGTAAATATTGTTTATCAACTTTTAAGTCTGTTGAACAATAAGGTTTTTTAAGAAAATCATATGAAATTTCTATTGTTTCTAAAATAAAATAGTTTTTAGAAGTTGAGAATTTAATTAACGAGAGAGAAAGATTTCTAAACTTGGTGAGGAAGGGTGTGAATGTGATTATTTCTAGCTCAACCACAGCCAGCCATCCCTTTCTAATTATTTGTTTTATTCAAAGATTTTATACTTATTTTGAATGTAAATTTTGAGCTCGAACAAACTCTTGATTTTGTTGAAAAGAGAAATTCTAAAAGATCAATGAAATATTATAAAAATAGGAAGCAAAAACCAAAATTTCATTCCGAACAAGTATCAGATAATAATGGATCACTTGATATTATCTCTTCGTTACCACTTCATATCGATTTAAAATCAAAAATAATAACAAATGTGAAAAAGACTTGTTTATTAAAGAAGTAAATAGTAAAAATTGTTATGGAATATCGAGATAATCTTTACAATATAAATCAAATAGAAAATATCAATAAAGATGACAAATGACATTATCAACAACCCATCTGATAGTTTAGGATACTGAAAAGATCTTCATATTATTCATCAAAATTGATTACATTATTATACAGACATTTCAAACACATTTTGAAATCTGTCTGTGATTAATTCTACTTTAAATAATTGCTTTTTCTTATACAATCATGTCTCTCATCTACTCAAATTCATCACGTAGAATAAATCCAGGTAAATTCCTTTTTTAATTAGTTAATCAATTTGAAATTAATTTAAATGAAAGATTCCGGAAAAATCTTAGAAACCTAATTATCTTCAGATTACATTCACTGTTTTGTTTGGGAGAGACCGATCTACATAAACAGCTACTATCTTTAAACTGGATTTCGGTCGGTTTTTATTGAGAATCTGACGCGTTCCGGCGAAATCTGATTCGATAGTTTGTCGTAAGATCTACAAGTTGGACTGAATCACCTGTATCGTATCTCTTCTACTGGGTGGGTGCGTGTGGGTAGTCATCATTTCTCATTCACATTTGCATCGATAATCCTACCCAAATTTGCTCTCGCATCCAAAATCACCCACACACATCTCTATTTCTATTTAGTTGAGATCGCTCGATAGTGACCTTCTACTAAAGTTTATTTATTCTAAATGTTATAAAAGATGTAGTGCGAGATTATAATAAAGTATAAAAAACATGTATTTCTAAATTATGATAGTGTTTATTTAACATGATTATTGACGTTCTTTGATCTTTTCTGACACCATCTTCTCCGAATATTCCCACCATTCACGTGCTCGTTCTGAATTGAGTGCATGTGGGTTACCTAATTCAGTTTCGTGACAATCTGAATAATATTTTCCTGATATGACATCGTCTGATACAGCACAAAATAGATTTGTCTGAGCACCTTCAAGTTGCGTCTTGAAAAGAAGCATTCGAAGAGGTGCAAAGAGCAGTTGAGAGAAAAACAAATGTCTTGCTAGCCCTGTATCGACTCCACCGGGATGAAGAACATATGCTTTGAGACCTTGTGCACCGAAACGACGATGTAATTCTTGAGTAAAATAGATATTTGCTGTTTTGCTCATTGAATAAGCATTCCAAGGTTTATAAGTTTGTTTGTTTACTTGTTGAGCATATGTTTCAGGTGTACATGCAACTTGCTGCATGACATGAGCTAATGACGAAACATTAACAACACGCGATTTCGATTTAAGTAATTGAGGAAGAAGTAATTTAGTAAGATAAAAATGACCAAAATGATTAGTACCCATTTGCATTTCGAAACCATCCTTTGTAAGTGAATGTGGACAAGCCGCTACGCCAGCATTATTGATCAAAGCAGTAATTGGAGCGTCTCTGTAAATAACAAAAATATATTTATCTATAAATACTATTTTACTACTACGGTACTTACTCGCCTTCGCTGCTTTTGTATTGTTCGATACCAGTTTTGATTGAGAGTAGATCGGATAAGTCAATTGGATAACCACTTACGAGTTTAGGATCTCGTGCTACTTTTTTAACATCATTGATCGTTTGTTGTAAGTTGCCAGGTCGTGCAAACAGTACTACTTTAGCACCAAGCTTTGACAATTCAAGTGCTGTTTGTTTTCCAATACCTCCTGCAGATCCAGTGATCAAATAAGTCTTTCCACTAAGATCCTTTGTCTTAAGAGCATCATATTGACCACCACGAGCAATCCATCGCACAAGACAGCAAACGGCAACAATATAAAGTCCAATAAAAAGATATGATGAACGAACAAGTGTCCAAATAAAATGAGGAATTAAAGGTGCAGAAAATGCTGATAGAGGAAGAATAATAATTGAAAGAAAAAGAGTGAGGAAGGCTCTTGTTTCTGGTTGACCAAGAAAATATAAAACTAAACTAGCCATATTGTCGATTTTTTCACAAATACAATCGCTGAAACAGTTGCTGTCTATATATATAAAAACAATATTTTTTGTATTGTCATCATCACATACGCGTTCTTTGCGTGTTCGAAGTGCACGACACGTGTATTTATGTTGGACGATGTGAAATTATAACGTTCTGTAGATACAGAACATCCAAAGATAACGAATGAATGAATGAATCATTGAGAAAGAGGCCATTCTTTTACACGTATGAATATATATGGCGACACTTCGCGAAAAATGAACTATGCAGATTGATATACAAGAATAGCTCACAATGAACAACTATATAATATCATTTATTTCCTTTTCTGAAGGAAAGGGTGTAGTATGATAAAATGTTTTTTTATAAATCACTTTTTTATTATACATTTGAAAGAATAATATTGTTGAATTCAGAATATAAAAAAAATAATTATCTTATTATAATGTTTACACATACACACAGATATCGATATATATATATATATTAATAACACAAAATTACAAGTATGGTTGCCAACCAGCAAATAATTGAGATAAATTTTCTATACTTATTGCTTCTTGTATTAACATATTAACATGAGCTTTAATTGTCATTTGATTTAAACGTTCAACACCTTGTAATTTTTGTCGCAGACCTAATAGAAGTCGTTCAGCCATTTTGTTTGTATCTAAATTAAACAACGTATGACATCTGCATTTGTAACAAAATTTACTTAATATTTTCAAACGAACCTATTGTAATCGATTGTCCACCAGTATTTGCTTCTGAAGATGAAGGTGAAGGAGTAGGTGGTGGCAACATACTTCCTTTTCCAGAAGATCGATATGAAGAAGATGATGCTATAGAATCTGCATTTGTTTTATCAAATTGTTGCTGAAGCTGTAAAGCTTTTTGTGGTGATAGTTGCCATTGATAAAGTGGATCATAAAGAAATACTTCAATTATAGTAATTAATGTATCTGCATATTGGCGCATCAGTTGAAGTGTAATTTCACAACTCCTAAACATCATAAATACATGTTAGAGTTAAAGTACAAGAAAAAAAGAAGATCGTTTTCTTTTACTTTTTAAAAAGACCTTCTGTACCACATATACCAAGACCATCAATAAGATCACGTGTTAATCGAAATGGAATAGTTTCTGGAATTGGTAACCTTAAATATTAAAATAGAACTTTTGATAAAAAAATTATTAAATGTATTAATTTTACTAACATTTTTCCTTGATCAAAAGCAACACCTAAATCTATATGAATAACTTCAGCAGTTTGTGTATCAATTAAAATATTTTGTACATGACGATCACCAAGACCAACAATATATCCAACGATCGATGATGTAGCTACACTTTTAGCATACGCTTGTTTTTTTCTATGCCATATATTTGGTTGATTATAATATTCATA